AGTCCCCTTGGCAGCTGACATGCCAGGGACTCCTGCCTGCTCGGCCAGCCCCATGGCCTTGGCAGGATGACAGCAGTTCCCCACGCCTTGCAGGTGGTCAAGTGGGCACTGAAGAAGCTGGAGTTGACCAAGTATGCAGACAAGCCCACCAGCACCTACAGTGGGGGCAACAAGAGGAAGCTATCCACAGCCATCGCACTCATCGGATACCCAGCCTTCATCTTCCTGGTGCGCCCTGAGGGTAGAAAAATGACCCCAGGTGGGAGGTGCCCACCCCCTGCTTCACCACACACCACTCATTTCCTGGATTGTGGGATAGTGGTCTGAGTTGGATTCAGGAGAGGAAGGGAGTGGCAGAGTCCCTCCCAGGGCTGGCATGTCTGAGGGTGCTGTCTATCCCCCAGGATGAGCCAACCACAGGGATGGACCCCAAGGCACGGCGCTTCCTCTGGAACCTCATCCTGGATGTCATCAAAACTGGTCGCTCCGTGGTGCTCACATCTCACAGGTCCAGGGGGGTTCTGTTAGCCCATGATGCCTCCAAGCACCTGGGGTGCTGTGTGGGAGGGATAGGGCTCCCTGGTCCCCAGGGAATGGCATTTGGTAGGGGGAGGAGGAGCATGGGAGACCTTCTGCTGCCTTCTCTCATCCCTGCTGGTGGGGCCAAAGCACTTGGGTGATGGCCTGGGAGGCCCAGCTCTCCACCTACCCCCACCATAGCCCTGGCATTGTCCTCTGATGCCCCCCCCGCTGAACCCTCCCTTGTCACCTCAGCATGGAGGAGTGCGAGGCCCTCTGCACCCGCCTGGCCATCATGGTGAATGGGCGGCTCAAGTGTCTCGGCAGCATTCAGCACCTGAAGAACAGGTAAGAGCCTGGCAGGAGCTCATTATGCCTGCATGAGGCACACAGGTAGCCTGTGTGTGCTGCTGGCCCGGGCGGGGCTGGGTCCCCATGGCTGGGTGACAGTGTGGGATCCATGACATTATACCGCCTCTGTGTGGGTGCTGCTTCAGAGGTGGGCAGGGAACAGGGTCACTGAAGTGCTCTGCCAGTGGCCTGGTGTCCAGTAGTGGTGGCCTGAGAGCATTGTTCCCTTCCATAGGGTCATGGGGGTGCAGATGAGGGGACAGGTCCTCATGGGGTGCCTTGTTCCTGTGCAGGTTTGGTGATGGCTACATGATCACAGTGCGCACCAAGTCCAGCCTCAATGTCAAGGAGGTGGTGAGGTTCTTCAACCGTAACTTCCCTGAGGCTGTCCTCAAGGTGAGCTGCCCATGGTGGCTATGCCAGCCCCCACATCAGGGCACAAGCAGCCTTCATCCTCCATGGGGTGATGGGAGGGAGTCTGGGAGTGAGGGCTCAGTGCCCCCTCTATGACCACCCCCCAGGAGCGTCATCACACCAAGGCCCAGTACCAGCTGAAGTCGGACCAGATCTCACTGGCACAGGTCTTCAGCAAGATGGAGCAGGTGGTGGATGTGCTGGGCATTGAAGACTACTCTGTCAGCCAAACCACACTGGACAATGTAAGACTGGAGACAGCATAGGCAGCTGGATGCTTGTCCCCAGGGAGTGACAAAGTGCTAGGCAGGATCCGACTTTGGGGCAGAGGTTTGAGTGAGATGGGGAACATGGTGGCAGCCACTGCATGGCAGGATGCACTGGCTCGTCACCTGGCAAGCATAGGATGGAGATGCCTGCAAGTACCTGAGTCTCCTGCCTCTTCCTCCTCAGGTGTTTGTGAATTTTGCCAAGAAGCAAAGCGACAACCTGGAGCAGCAGGAGACTAGCCCCAGCTGTGTCCTGCAGTCACCCCTGGAGCGCGTGCTGAGCCTGCTGCGCCCCCGCACTGTCCCCACTGAGCTGCGGGCCCTTGTGGTGGAGGAGCAGGAGGACCTGGAGACTGACGACGAAGGCCTCATCAGCTTTGAGGAGGAGAGGGTGAGAGGTTGTCCCTATAATCTGGGTGTTCCTGTGGACCACAGGTGGTCTCACCTGTGTCTGTGCCATGGGCCCTGGGACTGGGTGCTGTGACACCACAAAGGTGGCACAATGGAGCCAGGGCTGGGCCCAGGAGGGGTAGGGACTCTCTTGGAGAGGTGTCTGCTCTGCCACCTGTGCCAGACTCTGGCCCCAGATGCCCTGGGTGTGCTGGCTAAGTGGGCAGCCTCTGAGCCCTGCCTGTCTCCCTGCTCAGGCTCAACTCTCCTTCAACACGGATACGCTGTGCTGAGACCCCAGGGACAACCATGTTGTCAAGCCACCGAACCCTTTTGGCGTCTCCCCTCCCTTTGCCCCGTGGAGTGGAGTTGCCACAGCCGGAGCCACATGCCAGGGAGGACACACTGGGTACAGCAATGCCTGGATAGACCTCAGAAGCCACCACTGGGATGGCTTTTGTCCCCTTCAGCTCCAGAGCAGCATCACTGCATGGTGCCAGGAGCATGGTCCTCAACATGCTGTGGATGGAGACTGTGAAGGAAAGGACATGGCTTGATGCCAGCACTGCCAGCCCCACTCACTTTGGGGCAGAGACACACAGGCCTGTGAGCGGTGCCTTTGGACACCCGTGTTGCACTCTAGGGACCCTTGGCTGTGGGTACCACCCCAGGCCTGGCCCCATGTAGCTAGAAGAAGGATGACTGCTTCCACATCACACCTGGCTGATGCTGCCCTGGGCACCACAGGGGCAGGTGCTCTGGTGTTCCACCCACGACCGATTTCTGTCACCAGTGGAATGTCACTGGGGGTCTTGGCCCCACTAGTACATCCTGCCCATCCTGGGTTCTGTTCACCCCAGCCCTGCCTGGCCTTGGGCACTGGCTTTGTCCCCAGGCAGCAGTGCCATTGCAGAGGCATGTGGGGGGAGCAGAGGGGTATTTCACAGGGTATTTCACATGCTGGCACCAGCTATTCCTCCCCTCTGCCCTTAATCATGTCCCTCACCCTCAAGTCTCTCACCCTGCCTCCTGCCTGCCCTCACCACTTGCTTCCCCTATCACAGGGCATTGCTGCAGCTCTGCCAGCTTTCTGCTGTGTCCCCTTCCACGTCGCTTTTGCCCTGGCACTTGTTCCTCAGTGTGCAACACTGTATAGGAAGCACCTGCACTAGGTTCTTATTGTTGGGTCACTGGTGGTACTGGAAGAGGGGTTGCAGCACCCCAAGATGGCCTTGGAAGCTGGTGGTGGAGTGGCCTTAAGGTACGAGGGTGGGACAGTCTGGATGGGTGCCAGTGCAGCCTGGCAGTGGTGCCTGAGGTGGTGGGGAGGGAAGGATGCGCTGCAGTAGTGGGACTGGCAGTGTCACTGGCCAGAGTGGGCACCTCCTCAGCCAGCAGTGCCCCTCCTTTTTGCAGAGGGTCCTGCTGCCTTGTCACCCACAGGGTCTATGGCTGGTGCCTGCAGCTCTCAAGAAGCTGCAGCTGTGCCCAGAGGTGGGGTGGTAGGAGGGCCTATGATGCTGACCCTGCTGCCTCCCGCTGCTGGCTGGAACAGTCTTTGGCAACGCCCTAGGGCAGTCATGCACCTTCCTGGGGAGGACCCATGGTCCATCTGCCCTGTGTGTTCCAATCCCTCTCTGCCTCCTTGGCATGGGCTTGGCTGGAGGCCCTGAGCAGCACCAGGGACCTCAGCTGGCTGCCACGGGAGGTGGGGAGAGGCTGGCTCTAGTCCCACTTGGATGCAGGAGTAGGGCCTGACCTCAACTGTCCCCATGCCCCCTGGTCCCATCAGCCCCATAGACCATCTGCTATAGATTGTGATACAATATACAATATTTTCAATAGGGGGAAATCTGGGGGAAGCTCTATTTTCAGGTTTTCCAGACCATATTTTTTTTAAATGGCATATGGAAACTGGCTGGATCTGGGATGGGTTGGAAGGGACAGAGGGGCATGTTCCTGCTCCTATGCTGGCCATACTCTGCCTTCCCCAGGGGATGCTGGGGAACAAGCCAGCTCAAAGTTTGCCCTTTGCCATCGGGGAGAGGGGATAGTGTCATCTTTGAGTCCCCAGCTGTTATCTTGGTGGCACCCTGGGGCACCCCAGGGTGGGCACTGCTTTTGTGCTCTGGGCTTTATCCTTGCTCGATACCTGCCACACTACACTTTTGTTCCAGGCTCCAGAAGGGCACTGGCAGCCCAGTCACAAAATGTCTTCCCTGTCCACCCAGTCTTCCCCCTGCCCACCATGCTGTCATCCCCATGGCTTCTGAGGGTCAGTGGACGTGCCCACACAGCCTGGGTGGCCACAGTGGCCTCCCTGCCCTGGGCTTAGGGCTGTCTGGGCACAGTCGCTGCTAGAGTCACTCCAGCAGCAAGTGGGGAAGGTAGCGCCCCAGGGCATTGTCCCAGGGCAGGGGTGGCTGCTGCCTTAACACTGTTCACTTCATTGACTTTGGCCCCGCTTCCGGCCTTGCCTCTCCCTGCACGTCCTTGGCCACCAGCCGTGGGCATAGCACCAGTGCTACTGCTGCTATACTCGGCCCCAGGCATGGGGCCCCTGGGGGTGGGGACGTCTTGGAGCTGCTTGTATATTGCTACCAAACAAAAATAAGATGAAAATAATGATCGTTTTAAATAAAAAATAAACTGGATCCATTGAGGCTTTGTAGCTGGGCATGGGGGGAATGGCAGGGCTGTGTGCCTGGGAGGGCCTGGAGGAGGAGAGTTGTAGTGCCCGGGGTGGGGCTGCAGGGGACCTGCTAGGGGCAAGGAGTGCACAACCCAGGTCTATGCCCAGTGCTTGTAATCATTCAGGCAGTGTGGGGTGGCTGGGGGTGCAGGCAGGAGTGGCAGCAGCTGGCACTGTCACTAGCTGCCCTTATGGGCCTGGGGTTGGCAGCAGCCACCGTGGCGGGGCCCTGTAGCAGGGCGTCCTGTCTATGCCGTGGGGCCAGGCATGGGTGGGTGTGGGTGCACCCCGAGCAGGAATGTGGGCTGGGAGGGGCTGTGGTTTCAGCTGGGGCACTCAGGGTGCAGCCAGCAGTGCATCAGGAGTTGCCACACAGCATGGCTGAGAAACCCCAAATCCAGCTCTTCATCAAGGTGAGGGGGGTCCTGAGGTCGGTGCCCCAGGCCAGTGGGTAGCCCTGGCAACCAAACCTGTCAGCGTTGCAGTGGGGGGGTTGGCTGGGCTGCCCCTGCCCACTGCAGTGCCCAGATGTGGCGCATTAGACAGGCACGGAGGCAGATAGTGGGCAGAGGGTCGGGCACCGGGTAGGCAATGGGGCTGACAACAGGCAGTGGGGCAGGCACTGGGCAGCAGGTAGGTGCGGAGATAGACAGCAGGCAGCTCAGGCTCTTCTCCAGGGCGCACTGTTTGCTGATTCCTGCCCTGCAAGCACAGGGTCTGTGGAGGCTAAACTTGGGGAGGTTGGACCAGGTTCCCCCCTGAAAGTAGGGCCGTGCAGTAGGGCACCACAGCATCTCTCTGCCCCTTCCAGCCCCTTCCCAGCCGCTGCCTGGCTGGTGCAGTCTGGCTGTGCAGGCAGGACGGGGCTCACCTGGGATTGTGGCTGGGGGTGACAGGGCCACCAATATTGCTGTCATCTTCCTCTGGCACATCTCTGCTGCTGGACTGTCCCCTGCCACTGCCACCCCTGCTGCCACTACTGCTCTCAAGCCCTTGCCCCTCGACACTGAGGCTGGAGCAGCCTGGAGGTCCTTGTCCTCAGAGGGTGCTAGGGCCAGCACCTGCTGTGCCATATGGCTGCTCTGGAGTGTGTCATTGAAGCTCTGTGAGCTGGCAGAGGCCAGGAGCTGGTGCCCTGCCTGGCAAAGCAGGTACCATGGACTGCAGGACAGCTTGCCAGGCCAGGCTGGGGCATGCGCCCTATCATTTTCACCCTGTACCCTTTGGGGCTGCCCCCACTCGGGCCATGCCAGGGCGAAAGGACAGCTTAGCTCTCCTTCTGTGCCCACAGGCAAGTGAAGATGGGGAGAGCGTGGGGCACTGCCCCTTCTGCCAGCGGCTCTTCATGGTGCTGCTGCTCAAAGGGGTGCCCTTCACCCTCACCACTGTGGATGTGAAGAGGTGAGTGGCCGTCCCCTCCCGAGGGGTGCCAACCCTGGGGCCAGGATCATGTGCAGAGTGGGGGGTTGGTAAGTCCCCAACACTTTGGGAAGGGATGTGAAGGGTGGGCACTATGGGATGCATGGAAGTTTTTGTACCTCCCCAGGTGACCATTGGTGCTGGGGGAGGTTGGCAGGTATTTCCTTGGGTACACAGTGAGGCAGGAGGGGCCTAAGTGCACCATCTTTTGCACTGATGCCCCAGAACTCCCTTTGCTTGGGACACGTGTGCACAATATGAACGCACACACACACACACGCACACAGAGTGCCCTGTAGGACCCTCGACATGCCAGGCATCAGTGGTGTACCCATCTCCCACAGGGCGCTGGACGTGCTGAAGGACTTTGCACCAGGTGCCCAGCTGCCCATCCTTCTCTACAATGGCGAGCCCAAGACTGACACCATCACCATTGAGGAGTTTCTGGAGGACCAGCTGGGCCCCCCCATGTCAGTGGCTGGTGCTGCCTTGAGAGGAGGAAGTGGCCCTCCAGAGAAGGGCAGGACAAGCTGAGGGAAGCAGATGAGCCTGTCAGCCTCTGCTACCTGCCTCAGCTGTGCCCATGTCCCCACAGGTGCCCCAGTCTGGTCCCGCATTACCCGGAGTCAAGCCTGGCTGGGAATGACATTTTCCATAAGTTTTCTGTCTTCATCAAGAACCCGGTACCTGCACAGGATGAGGGTGAGGAGCGGCTGGGGGAGTGCCCCATGCAACCTCTTGGGTGCCACACGGCAAAGCCTAGCTTAGTCACACTGAGCTTTCCCAGTCCCCCCACCCAGTCCACAGTCAGGTCTGTCCAGGCACCGCCCTTCCTACACAGGCCAGCATGGCTGTGTCAGCTCTCAGTGGGAGGGCAGAGGCAGGTGCTAGCCTGAGCCAGGTGGGAAGAGGCTGACAGGTGCTGCCTGGACACAGGGAGGGGCTGGCAGGAGGCCGCAGCAGAGCAGGGGCCCCATGCCCGGAGCACGGCTGTACTGTGACCTTACCGCCCTCCTTGCAGCATTGCAGCGCAGCCTGCTGCGCGCCTTGCTGAAGCTGGATGAGTACCTGAGCGCCCCTCTGGACCATGAGCTGGCCCAGGACCCTCACCTCCAGGCCTCCCAGCGGCATTTCCTTGATGGAGACCACCTCACACTTGCCGACTGCAACCTGCTGCCCAAGCTCAACATCGTTCAGGTAAGCCACTGGCATCCCAGTACCACGCCTTTCTCCTTTCCCTGGCATCCCCATGCCCTCACTTTCCTCTTGGTGCTTACAGCAAGCCCCTGCTCCTTTCCCAGTTGTTCTCTCAGTTCTGTGCTCCCCAGCATCCCTCTCCCCAGGAGCCTGCCCAGCACAAGGCCCTCCGACAGATCCCACTCCTCTCTGCATCCCCTCCTAAGTGCCAGCCCTCAAATTCACAGTGCCAGGGATGTTCCTGGCTCTCTGCCACCCTTCCCAACTGGTGCCTGCCCTGGTGGTAGAGACCTTGGCACAGTGTCAGGCAAGTCTCCCCCATTTGTGCCTGTAGGTCGTGTGCCAGCACTACCGCCGCTTTGGGATCCCCAAGGACCTGCAGGGCGTGTGGCGGTACCTCAACAGTGCCAGTGAAACTAAGGAGTTCAAATACACCTGCCCCAATAGCCAGGAGATTATACAAGCCTATCGTTCCGTTGTCCGGGCACTGCAGTGAGCCGGGCACGTGCCCTAGTGGGTGCAGGGCCAAGACTGTGGTCAGGCAGGAGGTCAGCGCCCACCCTGCCCCTGCCTGCCTGCAGGGGCTCAGGAAAGCTGTGCCACTCGCACCCAAATTCCCTCCACTGGCACCCAGGTGCTGGCAGCAATCTGCAGTGCACCGAGCCCTTCTTGTGCCACCCACCCTTCCTCACAACCAGGACAAGCTCTGTGGCCCCTCGAGCATCAGGATGAGGACAAGGGGACACAGCCAGGGGCACCATCGATGCCAAAGCTGTGCCCAGCTGAGGGCAGGGGCAGAGCTGGGCACAACAAGCTGCCATGCAGCCACTTGCATAGGCACGCTATGCCACCCACCTGGGCTGCAGGCACCACAGGGTGCCCTCACACCTGCACCAGGTGAGGTGGCACACCCATAGAGACCTAGGAACGGAGCTGGAAAGGGATGGCACAGGCAATGGGCAGAGGTCAGTTCCCCCCAGAAATCTCTATTAGGAAGCTCTCAACAGACTTGGGTGTTGTGAAGCAAGGAAAGCCCAAGCTAAGCTTCAGAGCTCCTGGAAATCAATAAAAGCTTTGCAAGCAAGACCAGTGTGAGTCTGGAGTGAACACCCCAGCAGCTCCTCCCTTACAAGGCTTTGTACTGACATCCTCATCCTCTCCCAGTGTGCAGCAAGGCAGAGCCCACCCTCACAGCTCTCCAGAGGGGTTGGTCAGGTTCTAACCACACACCCATCAGCCCATTTACAAAAAGCTGGCAGAGAAGGGAACTTCTCTGAGGCCCGGACCCCCAGGTTCAGCTGAAACAGGCTCAAGGCTTCCCGAGAAAGGGAGAGGCAGAATGGGGAGACACACCCAGAGAGACCAGCTGGCTAAAAACACCTTTACTGGCAAGAAGCAAAACACAGGTAATTTTTCCATTCCATGGTATCAAGACTCCATCCAGACTCCACCAGTTCATGGTAAGTGAGGTCAGCACCTTCCCTGCCAGGAGGGAAGAGCTGCAGGGGAAAACCCCACCATGCTGGTGTCCCCTCTGCTCCATTTGTCCTCCCCAAAGGTCCTGACACCACCCCAGCTGAGAGGTGGCTGCTGGCTCTGTTGTCTCCCTGGGTCGAAGAGCCCAGTAGGTCTGGAACAACTGGGACACCTCCTTGTTCAGACATAGGGTCCATAGGGCTGTCATCGGGGTACAGGACATCACAAGTCCTCGAAATTCACTCCAGATGGTGCCTTCTTGCTGAAAGGAGATCAGAGCCCCGAGCCCCGCTGCCACCATAGCTTTGGAGCAGAGCTCACAGGGTGCCCAGTGAGCAGTACCCAGCCCCAGCACTGACCTTTTGAAACCAGGGTTAATGAGAGACTCCCCATGGACCTTCCTTTTGGCTGGCAAAGCTGAGCCAGAAGCACTACTCTTCCTGGGGCTGGGGTCTACCTCAGTCATGAACAGGCAGTACACAGATTACAAGTTACCCAGGAGCTCTGGCAGCCCTCCCAGTCCCTCCAGGGCCAGGGGGAGCCTCTGGGAGCCCAGCCTGGCAGGACCAGCAGCCACAGAGGGCAAGAAAGGGCCAAACTTGGCCTCCTCCCAAAAGGAGCCATGGATCTGCCACAGCCTCCAGTCTGGAAGCACAGCAAAGTCTGCCCTCCTTCTGAGGTTGGCAATGCCCAGCCTTTGACCTGAGCATCCCAGACACTCTGAGAGCCATCATATTAAGCACTGCTCCTGCTCTGACGGAAGAGCACCAGGACAACGGCTGGCTGCCAGCAGCCACAGTCAAGGGCATTCAGAGTGTCCTGAAGAGCACATGGATACAGGGACCAGCAGCCTCCAAGGAGGAGAAGACAAAAGATTGTGGGACCAGGGGAGGTGTCCCTGGCAGTGCCTACCTGGCAGGAAGAGCTGCTGGCTCCAGGCAGTGTTCTTCTCAGGGCTGCAGGAAGATGATAACGTCTCCACTCCTACTGAGACAGGAGCCAGAGCCAAAGCTTGTGACAACACTCCCCAATTCTGCATGCAGCACTTCAAGCCTCCACAGCAAGCTCCCTCCACAGTCAGCCTGAGCCCCATTCTCCTCTCAGCACTTCCATCCAGACTGCTGCTGCTCCAAAATCTTCCCAGACCCCTCAAACAAAGATGTCTGTAAGCTGACTCCCACATTCGGGATGCTGGTGTGGTGCTGGATGGATGGTGACCACGAGGACAGGGCTGTGTTTCCACATAGAGCCATACCACTGTGCCCTCTGGGCCCAGGCAGGGTCTCTTCTGCCTGCGGGGGTCTGGCGCAGACCCTGGCCAGCTCTGAGAACGGGCCAGCCCAAACAGGGAAGTGATGGGCAGCAGCTTTTCTGCTGGCCCACTGGGACTGGTGAGAATAAACCACCTGGGGTGAAGCCCTCTCCTGCTGCAGCTGAACTGGGGCGCCTAGGGCACTTTAGGTGGGGGTGATCCCATGAAGGTGGCAGGAGCTGCCAGCTCTCCCTTCTCCTAAACTCACCACGGACCTTTCAGGCGCCTCTCCAGGCTCTCGATGCAGCCGGCCATGCCGAAGATCAGCGCCTGCAACTGGCTGCGCGCCTCGGCGGCGGGCAGCTGGGCGAGGGCCAGGGCCGGGCACCGCGGCTCCTCCGGCAGCCGCAGCGTGGCCGAACCCGGGCCCAGGCTCAGCGCGGCGGCCCCATGACCCAGGGCGGCCCTGCGGGGAGCGGGGGTGAGGGGAGCGGGAGAGAGAGGGAGCCCTGGGCGAGGTGGGGCCTAGGGTGGGGGCAGCACGGGGCGAGAGGGTGCCCGTGACGGGGGAGGTCCCAAGGCGGCGGCACCCACCTGAGCATCGCGCCGTGCTCCTCCGGCGGGCACCGCTGCAGAGGGAGAGGAGGAGAAGTCCAACACGGCCTAGCCTGGGTCCAGATCCATCTCTGCCCCGCCGGCACCCCAGGTCTCAACCCCGGGCTCTCCCACCGCCCCCTGTCCCCCGGTACATACACAGCCGAGCACCGGGCAGCCACCGAGCTCCCCGGCCCAGACCTCTATCGCGTCGGTCACACTGCGGGAGGAAGCAGCTCAGGTAAGGGCCCCCGCGCGGCCCCGTGTCCGCTCCCCACCTGCTCCTTCTCCCGCCCCGCTCTCACAAGACGGTGCCGTCGGGTCCGCAGTAGCAGAGGAATCGGCCTGTCCCGGCTCGGAGCAAATGAAAGGGCCCTACCGGTTCCGCCATGGCAGCGGCGGAAAGGGGGGTGGAAGGGGCGGGTACAAAGGGGGGGCGGGAGCGCCGTATCCTGCCCAGGGCTGGGCCCGGCAGCTCCGCCATGGTGAACCTCGGTGTGCGGCGGGTGGAGGATGGTGTGGCCGCCAAGCACCCGGTGCGCCGCGCGGGGGACGGGCTGGGGGGCCTGGAGGGGCTGAGGCTGAGGGGGTCGGGTGGGCTTCCGGCCCCCGCGCTGACGCATCCTCGCAGGCGCTGCAGCAGTACGCGGCCTGCCAGTCTCACGCCTTCATGAAGGGCATCGGCACCTTCCTGGCAGGTATAGGCCCGTCCAGCCACCCCGGCATTCCCCGGGATGTCCTTGGCCGCTCCCCCGCGGGCAGCGGGAACGTCCGGTAACCCCGGCCCCCGTCTCTGCAGGCAGCGGGGCCGCCTTCGCAGTGCAGAAGCTGGCGCGGCAGAAGCTGCCGTACAGCCCGCAGTGGAGCCTGCTGCTGGCTGCGGGTAAGTACCCAGCCCGAGCGCTAGTGGGGTGTTTGCCATTGTTATGGGGGTTCGTCTCTGGCTCCAGCCACCTCCCTGTGCCCCGGCCCCCAGGGCTCAGGAGGGTTCGCGGTAGCAGGCAGGTGCTGCTGGCGCTCCCAGGAGCACTTCGGCTGCCCCAGCTGCAGGGTCCCTCGGAAGCTACGTGGTAACCAGAGCTGAGACGCAGAAATGTTCCAACTTTTGGATTTACCTGGAGACAGGCAAGTCCCCACAGGAGCTCGCCGTGACTGGTCAGCCCGCAGGTACAGTCATATCTTCCGACTGCTTTCCCTGAGCTTGTCGTGCCTGGTTCTTCTCTGCTGCAATAATTATTTTGCTGTTCCTGTCTTGTAAGCTGGTGACTGTCATTGCCAAAATCTCACCCTGGCACCCTGCAGCCAAGGGGTGGGAGCCAGGAGCACCCAAGGTGGGTGGAGCTCCTTACCTGGTTTCATGCCTCTCCCATCCCTCTGTGCACCTGGCACAGTGGGTTCCTCAGCAGGGCTGGTGATGTGGGCTGGGTGCACTTGCTGCTGCCTCCTGCCCCGTCTGCTTTGGGTATTCATGAAAGCCAGCGCAAAAGGCTCATTTGCTGGAAGAGGAAGGAGTAGGTAAGGGACGGAGAGAGCAGCTGAGGTGTGGAGGGATTTGCTGCTCAGTAGAGTGGCAGAACTGGAGGGGCATCAAGACAAGTGCTGCTGGACAATTCTGCTCACTGCCCTCTCCCACACATGAGCTCCTAAAGCTAGGCCAACTTGAAGAGGCTTAATGTGCTTCACCAAGGTTCTGTGGTTCTTTTCCTACCCTTGGCAAACTTACCAGGGTGGGTACTTGAAAGTCCAGGGAACTTGTACTTTCTTGTTGCAGAAAACCTCCCCCGTGCAGAGGACAGGGATAGCATCGCAGCACTGGTGAAGAGGAACAGGTACGGTGACGTGGTGGAGTAGCCAGCAGAGCACAGCATTCCGTGCCCATGTCCTGCTTCACTCCCTCCTGCCTGTCCAACCTGAGGCTGCCCATGCTGCCTGTGAGGGTGGTAGGCGTGGTGACACTGCTGGAAAGCTCAGAGGACTTGATCCTGCAGTGAGAGCATGGTGGAGATACCTCAGGGATTGCTGCTGCCTGTCCCATGGCCTCTGCACATTGCACTGCGGGTACAATAAAAGTTGAGAGCTGAAGGCACTCGTTGTGGATGAGGTGAAGGACAGAGCAGGTGATGAATGCTGACCTGAGGCAACCTCTGCAGTGAATGCTGGAGCAGATTGCTTTGGTCCCTCTGTGGTGATGGCTGTCACAGTCAGCACCTAGATTGCTCTGATACAGCTGCAGGCATTGACAGGTTTGGGCAAAGTTGTGAGGGCAGAACTGTTGCTGTGTCCCCTATGTTTCCTAATCCCAGCCAGTCCCCCTGTCCCTTCACTGCAGCAGCAAGGCTTTTCATACTTACCTGAATAGGCCCGAGTTGAGCCTCATAGCTGGGTGGCCTCTGGGGTGTTTTGTTCCTCTACAACAGGGGTGACCATGTGCCCAGGGCCCCTCTCTGCAGTGCTCACCTGACATTGGCTAGTCCCAGATTGCCCATCCAGATTCATAACTACTCGGCAAGGCAAAGGTACTGTGTATAATCCCATGCACACAGTGGGCCATGTGAGGGTTTTCCATGTCAGACTCCAAGTCTTGACTTGGTAAATTGTCTGCTCTTGGTGGATGTCCAGCTCTGATTCAGCTGCAGCTGAATTTCTTTGAAGAGAAAACTCAGCCTGAATTTTGGGAGCTGCCCGGGTTCTTGGAGCAGGGTTTCATCTTCAGGAACAAGTGCTTTGTCCTTGTGATAGATAGGCCCTGAACCTCACCACAGGAGGGAGTCCCTGAGCTGAGGACATGAAGAGCTCGGGGAGGAAACTGGGCTTGGGGATTCACAGCATCATCTGACCTGGAATCAGGTTTGCCCTGTGCAGAGAGATGGGGCAGCCAGTGGAAAGCTGAAAGCAAAGTGCTGCAGGGAACAGGTGTGTTAAGTAAAGCATGGCATTCCAGGAGTTCAGCTGGAGCAGGGAAGGGTGTTGGGAAGTTAGCAAACCCACAGAGCAGAGTTGGTGGAGTCAGCAGGAGCAAAGAGGGCAGCGAGAACTGCAGCTCCCTACAGCCACTTCTCTCCAGTGTTTGTGGAACGTGCAAGGTAGGGGGAGGCTTCCCAAAGGATTGAAGGCTGGGACCAGTCCCATGCAGCTGCCGAGAACCGCAGTGTGTGTCCTGGTGCCTCTGAACGGCCAGTGACTGCAGCAGCAAATGTGAGCTGCTTGGCTGCCGCCCTTGAGCGCCAGTGTTGGGCCCTGTCAGTGAAGGCTGCCACAGCTGGAGGCTGTGGCAGTGAGGGACAGCTTGAGTTGCCTGCTCCCAGCTTTGGGGTGACTGCACTTCCAGCACTGGGGAAACATGAGCTTGGTGACTGTGGCTGGCTGGAGCTTCTCCACCTCCAGGTGGACGTGGATCTGGAGTGAGACTTCCAGCCCACCTTGGTCTATTTGAGGTTGCCTCCAGGCTGGTAGAGTGCACAGAGCCCTGATGGTGTCTCAGTACTGGATGGGCTGCAAGGGCTGAGCTCTTCGGGCATGATCTTCGAGCCAGACATGTGGCTGAGGGACTCTGTCCTCGTGGGACAGCCAGGCTGAACTGCCTGTTGCTGATCACAAGCCACTGAGCCATAGCAGTGGTTACAAAGGTTTATTTCAGATTATTAAAAAAACTCAAACAAAACCAAACCTTCATGTTTGTACATCCCTGTTACTCAATTGGAAATGAAGGTGCATCCTCCTAGCTGCCTGGTGTGGGGTGATGCCAGGCTCAAATCCCAGTGCAGAGCAAAGCCCCACATTGTGGGAGCCCATCAGCTCTGTGCCAGCATAGCCATGCACCACAGAGCTGCAGGAACTGGGGTGTGCAGGAGTCTCTGGCTGTGGCAGAGGCAAGTCTGGCATAGGAACCATGGGGATAGTGAAGGCACCATGTCTGGTTGTTGAAGTGGGACCTGGAAGCTGCCATCTTCCCACGTCTGGTCGTTGCCAAGTCCTTACCCAAAGCTGAGGCAAATGGTCAAGGCCAAGACCTTGCCTTTGGGAAGGTCAGTGGGGTTTGTGTGTCAGCCAGAAAGACACCATGGGCTTCAGGTGATGCCCAGAGCTCCCCAGGAGACAGGGCTGATGCTCTGGGGACAGGCTAGTGATGTCGGCTATAAGGACTAGTGTAAGTAATATTCCCCATTCATACACATACACATGAGAATGAATCCTGTTGTTGCTTGGGCTCATTGGCCCAGTTCAGCTCAGCTCTGGTGGCAAAAAGATGTCCTAGCTCTGAATGTCCCATTCCCAAGCCTGCTCCAGGGTCCATCCCTGAGTAGTGCTGGGAAAAACCCTTCTCCCACAGGGCCAATGATCCTCTCCTGTCCTTCATTTCCTGCAGCTTGAGGGCAAGGGGAGGGCAAAAGGGGACAGCTTTCCTTCTGGGATGGTGTCAGGCCTTGGAGGAGGACATTGAGCACTTGCCACATACCAAGCATTCAGACTGTGGAGCCTCCAGCAGGTAGGATGGTGCTGGTCCTGCAGCTATGGCCCACCCTGTCCCTGCCATCAGATTATGCTGGACTTGCTGTGCCGGAGCAGGCAGATGGCAGTCACCAGGGATGTCAGGGTGGTGACCACAAAGAGCAGGATGAGGATGACCCAGTAGTTGTACAACATGCTTTTGTGGGAGGAGGGCTTTTCTGCCGGGATCATGTTGGTGAGGTTCAGCATGTAGCCCAGGGCCCAGCCAATGGAGGTTTCTCCTGCCTGTGGAAACAGCATGGCATGGTCACCAGCCAGCCAGTCCAGCTGCATGGGCCTCAGGAGACCTCAAAGTCATAGAATTATGGAATCATTGAAGTTGGAAAAGACATCTAAGATCATGGAGTCTAACCTGTAACACCAGCACTGCCAAGGCCACCACTAAACCGTGTCCCCAAGTGCCACATCTGCACGTTTTAAATCCCTCCAGGGATGGTAACTACCACATCTGTGGGCAGCCTGTTCCAATGCCTGACCACACTTTCCATTAAGGAAATTCTCCTAAAATCTAACGGAAACTTCCCCTGCCAAAACTTGAGGCCATTTCCTCATCCTGTCACATGTTACCTGTGAGAAGAGACCAACCCCCCCACCTGGGTACAGTCTTCTGTCAGCGTGCTGTAGAGAGTGAGGAGCCTCCCTTTCTCCAGGCTGAGCCCCACCAGCTCCCTCAGCTATTCCTCATAAGACTTGTGCTCTAGACCCTTCAGGAATCGCCTCAGTGTCAGCCCAAGGGAGAAGAGTGTGGGGGAGCCCACAGCCCCCTGAGTCTCTGCTTGCCCACAGGTCCAGCCAGCCCAGGGACAGAGCAGTGACCATCCTGTGCTGAACTGGGCTCATCCCCTGCGAGTAAACCTTGTGTGCTCAGGCCAGTCCTGATCTCCTTGCACAGCCCATGGCATATGCAGACAAAAGTATCATTCTGCCCTGAGGTAACTTCCCAAAAAACCTCAGCAAAGCATTTTGTGGGATGGCTGGTGTCTTGAGGGCTAAGGAAGGGCTGAAGGACCTGACCCCATGACCACCTCATAGCCACCTCAGCTCATTTGTTTCCATCCCCCAGGAGATCCCTCCAAAAACTGAGAGTTCCACCCTGCCCCTGTTCACTGAGCTCTTCCTTGATTCTGCTTGGCTCTTTTTCCATTTTGCATTATTTCTCCTGCAGGGTTCTTTGGCCTAGCTCCAAAGAGATCGCATGGGATGGGGATGCTACCTACCTTCTTCTGGAAGGCAATGTTGGTGAAGGAGTGGTTGTTGAAGCTGTAGCCTTTGGTGGTGAGCAAATACACAAATGCGCTGACAGCGCAGTAATCTGGCAGCCTCTTCTCCAGCTTGGGGGCTTTCTGGAGCAGCTGGGTGGGATGCACAGAGGGAAAAAGAAGAGGGGTCAAGCCAGCCATGGCCAGGTTTGTGTCTGTGGCCTGAAGCTCAGGGTGGTTACATCTGTGAGGCCAAGGCTGCCCATACCCATCTGAGCCTCCTCCCAGTCCGATATGGGAACCATCAATTGCCTTACCCCTACTCCATTGGTGCCAGGAAGCCCAGTGACCTCCAAGGGCTTCTCTCAAAGCCGGGTGCTACCCCACATGAAGCAGCCCCCTCCTTTCCACAATGCCCAGGGAGCCCACCTCACTCCAGCTGGTGGCACAGATGGTCTCTGCAGCATCCTTCAGATCGCTGGGCAGGTGCACGGGTCTTCTCATCACGGTCTGGATGAAGTCCACCGTGTAGAAGAAGGCAGAGAAGGCCTGATGGAGGGAAAGGAGCAGCTGTGGGACAGGCTGGGAGCAAACTCTCTCACCATGAGCTGACACTCTGGCCAGTGTGGTGGGCACCAGCAACCACTGTTACAGAGCTGGGGGTCTGGCTTTGCTGCCACAATATGCTGGGGACAACCTGCCCAGCCAGCAGCTGTGTCACCACCCTCCTCCATGGCGGGACTTACAATGAAGTCTCCTGAAACCTTCGGCTGGAAAACACCATCAAAGGAGCAGCGGGAAAAAGAGCAGTTGGTGAAGTCAAAGAGCTTGCTGACATGCAGAGAACAGAGGTTCCCATTCCCGGTGCCGACCAAGGTAACAGTGGTGTTGAGGGCAAGGCTTGGCCTCTCCTTCTCCGTGCAGGGGCTGTCATAGATGCTGCTCAGCAATAGGCTCTTGTTGTAGCCCATAGGCCAGCAGGGATAGAAGACAATTTCCTGGTAGCTCTCAGCCTGCCAGAGGAGGGACACACACATAGGGTGTATGAGCTGTGCCATAGCCACAGCTCCCCTGGAGCTTGAGCAGTGAGTCACACAGCAGCTGCCAAAAGCGTCTCAAAATGGCTTGGGGTGTCTTGGCTCTTAGCCAAGGGCTGCATCATATAATGGAGATGGTGGGCAAAAACCCTGGGAAGACAGGAAAGGGTTGAGGGCAAAACCCAAGTTGGCTAGTAAAGGTGTTCAGCTGGTCCAGGGCTGAGGGTAAACACCAGCGTAAGGGGGAAAAAAAAGGGGGTCGTGACAGCCAGCATCCACATCAAAGTACATACTGTACCTGGAGGAGCTTAGAGAGGAGCCTCTTGAGGACCTGGTCCCTCCCATAGCAGAGAAAGCTGTGTGTGTACACTTTGTATGCCTGGCCATACAGCTTCAGCATCACCTCATTTCTGGGGTTTTCAATTGTGTCCCTGGTTTCAAAAGTGATCTGTGTGGAAGCGCCCCCAAAGTCCATGGCCCCCAGGGTCTTCTTCTGAGGCTGGATCCATTCTCCAAGCCATCCACGCTGAGCCAGGGAGGACAAGAGAAGGAATAAGTGTATGATGATCTGCCCAGCCACCACAGCCATCCCACTGAATGTCACTATCCCCTGCCCACCTTGATGAAGTTCTCCAGGAGATAGTTTGCAGTGACCCAGCCAAAGACCCCTTCCTCTTCCCCTGACAGGATCTTTGCTCCCCGGAAATCAAAGGGGTACGTCTTCAGCGTGGCTGCTACAGCTCTGAGGACAGCGTCTGACACCTGTGGGTCTGCAATGCTGTGGGACAAGTGAGAGGGCAGAGTGACAGGCCTGTGCCACAGTGCTGCAGAGCCCTCCCTGTCCCAGCAGCCCTTGAGGGGGCCAGCACTGCCACAGTAGGGCCCAGGAGAGAGCTGAGCCCTTGTCTGGGTACCCATAGGCACATCCTGAAAAACCACCTGCTAATTTCCTTTATCTCTGCTGGAGGAGGCAGGTAACAGGAATGAAGTGTGTTCCCTCCTGCTGGGATGGACAATGGGGTCCATCCTGCCTGGGCTGAGTGAGAGGAGCACAACTCGTCCCCCCGTGTGGTTTTTGAGGGGTGATTATTCTCACCATTTCCCATCAGGCTGGCAGTGGGTGCAAAGGATTTTCCTCCTAACATCCAAAGTCTGTGTGGGTTTTCCTGGTGCTGACCCCCCACCAGCCTCTTTCCACTAGCACTGTGCTGGCTGTGCCCTGCAGTGCATATCCTGCTCTGAAAGATAGGACCACTTCTGCAGGGAACACAGCACTGGGCAGCTGGGTGCTGAAGAGCTTTGCCAAGCAAAGGGGCAACACTTCAGCCATCCTTCACCACCTCCGTCCCTGCTGTGCGTGGCAAGCTGGCATGTCAGAGTGGCATGACAGGGTCCCCCTGAGCACTCACTTGAGCAGGCGCATGCCAGCCGTGGCACCCAGGTAAAGCGGGGTGCCAGCGTGCTTCTCCTTGGGCACATCTTTCAGGGCCAGGTTCAGGCAGTGCTCCAGGCTTGTCCCGGCCGCCAGAGGGTTTGAGCTGTAGCTGGAGATGCCAGGACCTGTGAAGAGGAAACAGCATTGCTCCCTGCTGGTGAGGGGATGATGCTCAGTGGGAAGATGCCTGGTGAGCAGCTTTTCCCCATCAAGGCTGTCTGAAAGGCATTTTCTGTGGGCATGAGGCCATCCAGGGTCCAGCCACATCTCCCTGCCCACACTGCATCCCTTGCTGGCTGACAGTCTGGGAAAGGTTGATAAATGGAGAGTGAAAAACTGACCCTGGCTCCTCACTGGCCTAGGCAGGGAGATGGATTGTTCCCTGGTGGTTCAGTACTTGCTAGGAAAAGATAAACCACAAGCATGCATGGCTGCAAGCCTTGCCGGGTATTGGGAGACATTTTAGGAATAGAGCTGAACCCTTTAGAGCACGTTATTAACACCAGTGAATACAGAGGGAGGCAGCTGGGCATGGCAGGGGCAGTCACACCATGCTGCCCTGCCCCAGGCATGCAACAGACACCACCACCAGCCCCCAGCCCCCAGCCCCAGGCTAGGGCCAGCCCTTACCCTCCACATCACACATGCTGTGCTCGCTGACCACCCCGGTGTCATTCTCCTTGTCTGCAGGCCACTTGTAGATGAACATAGCGGTGTGGGAGGACCCAGCGTCCAGCACGATGCCGTACTGCAGGGGGAAGGCAGTGAGTCAGGCCTGGAGGCTTAAGGTCCCCTGGCTGCTCCAGTCCTTCCCAAGGGAAGACACTGGGTCTCAGTGCACAACCACTCCTACCCTATCGGTGCCCAGCAGCTCCGGAGCATCATCTGGCAGAGGCAGGCTTTGCACTGCAGCCTGGCACTGCCAGGCCCACACCTGCCCAAACAGGGCACTCCCTGGGATGTGATTAGGACTGTGACACTGGCCATTCTGGGATACTATTTGGAACAGGGACTCCAGCTTTTTGGGTAAGGGGATTCCCTTGAGTGCAGCTCAGGGGGCTCTTCCCCCACTGCGGGTTACCATCACTCTTGGCTGCCTGCTGAGCCATACTAGCAGGTCCCTGGGACTGGTGGTGGGGAGGAACACCTGAAATGGCTCCTTGGGATGCTCTTGGCCAAAGAAGGGCAGCCAGGCCCCTCATCCCTCCTGCCCTTGTATGGCTTGGCCATTCTCTGGCTATAAATAACCCTGCTCCTCCTGCCAAACAAGGTTACCCAGCTCCATACGTGCTCCCTGCAGCATCCTTGGGCGGACCCCTGTGCCTGACCCCTGCTGCCCATGGTCTTGGGCCTGCCCATGCTGGCCCCCACTGTTCCCCCTCAGGGCTGTGAGTACAGGGGAAAGCGAGGCAGGGTGCAGCACCACCCCAACTGAACATCTCTGGGGTGAAGCCATCTAAGGCTTAAACCTCCAATGAGTCTCTGTCGGCTCCTGCCCTGCCCAGACTCGATAGAGCCAAAGGCTGGAGTAGGCAGCTCCTCTCCCTGCCTGGCTCTGGAAGCCTCCCCAGCCCTGCCTGCCATGGGTGCCCCATGCCACCTCTGTCCCTATCACCTGGTTTTCAGCTCAGGCAACAGAAGTGTCAGGGCAGACGCAGGGACACCTGAGGTCCCCATTTACAGGTAGTCCCAATTACACCATGAAGCTATGGCCCTGCACCAGTGGTACCTCCTGCTCCCTCAGGGGACCATTTCACATGGGTGACTCTCCCAGACTCACCCAGTGATTTGCTCATGCCTTGGGCCAAAAGCTGCAAGCCAGCAGAGAATCCCCCTCTGTGCCCAGGCTGGGGCAGTGGAGCAGCTTCAGCTCCTGACAAACACTGCAGAGAGGAAGGAAGCTGACAACTCCCCCCAACACCCCTCCCCAGTCTCTTGGGCTGGGCACTAGGGTGAGTGCTCAGGGTAGGCTTAGAGGGCTCTCAACATCCTCTCTGCCCAGCGTGTCACACCCCAGTCCATTCTCACCAGAGCAACCTCTGCCTTGCCTGCCCACCCTGGGTTCCCAGATGAGCAGTCACTGACCACCCACAGGGGACTCTGAGGAGGGTCCAGCCCCAGGGGACCCCTCTGTCCACCTTGGTGGCACATGTGCCCAAGTACCCTGTAGCCACCATGCAGATGTCTCTGATTTGCTCACAAGGCACCACATTAACCCTGGATCACCTGGAGTGACATTAGCAGGAGCAGAGTGACAAGGCTGTCCCCAAAGGGAAAGCATCGATAGGTCATCCCCAAACCTGGGGCTGAGCACAGCAAAGACCCTGGGAGTTGTCTCTGGCCCAGAGATGCCATGGAGGAGCTGAAGTCCACAGAGAGGGACAAGGTTGGAGACAGGGATATCTACATGGTGGCAAGGGCTAAGAGATACTGGAGTATGAGACAATGAGGATGACTTCCAGTGCCAGAGATACCTGGTGCTGCCCACCAGGAGTGGGGTCAGCCTGGGAGGGGGATGCTGGGGACACCAGACTCACCCCATGGCAGGAAGGGACATGCCCACCCAGCTGGGTCCAGAGTGAGCAGGAGGAGACCCACCTCCGTGACAGGAGGAAGACTGGTTCCCTGGGTCTCTTCCTGCCCTCAGCAGGGCTGGCTTGGCTGTACCCCACTTCCCACCCCACAGAGAGCTGGTACCAGGGTGCATTCATGGGGTACATACCTGGAGTGGAATTGCACACGTAGAGAGGTGCACACATGTATGTGCACATGTGCATGGATGTGCGTGCATGGATGTGTGCATATGGTGTACATGCTGCAGGAATGCAGATGTTTGTGTATGTGCACATGGGCATAGAAAGGTGTGTGCAAATTGAGGTGTGGAGGTAGGTCTGTGGGGATGCTTGCACATGGGTGTGCACAGATCAGGTGTACATGCACACAGGTGTGGCAGGTGTGTGCACACGGGTGCAAGTGTCTGTGTACACATGCATTGAGGAGGGGCGTGTGCATGGGTGTGTGTGGGCACTTATGCCATGTGCATGCCTGGGGAAGTGCAGGCAGTGAGAGGCAGCATGGAGCCTACACTCGGGGCAAGCCCCATGCAGAGGTGACATGTTGTGGTGACAGTGGCACTGCTGGGGCAAGATGCAGAACTGGCTGCCCCATGTAGGCACATCCTAGTGCCCTTTGCTGCCAACACCTGTGGATCAGGGTGGGGGTCTCTTGGACCCTCAGCACATTGCCATCAGGTGTGGACTGGTGGGTGAGAGGCATCCCATGGGTCCCCTGGCCTTGGAAGTAGTGGCAGCAGAGCTTGGCCTGGCTGAGGTAAGGTGCTGCAACACGATGGCACTGCCACTGCAGAGAGTGCCTGGCCAGCTGCTGCCACAGCTCACCCCACAGCCACCCCGGCATGAGAGGAGCCATCACAGCCTCGTGCCAGCCTCTCCTGGGGGACATGGGATTTGGCACCACAGCCTGTCCCTGTGGAGAAGATGTCCTCACCTTGCAGTGGTAAGCAGGGGTGGGAATCATGCACATGGTGCATGAAAGCACCAAGGCAGACTTGGGCAGTCTAGTATGTTCCCAGTGATGAAGGAATGCTGTCTCCTTCAGTCCTGGGGGTACCCCATGTCTCCAGCATTCCTACAGAAATCACGAATGTGGTCACCTACAGAGGTGTGCAGTGGTGCCAGCCCCTGGCCCCAGATCCTGTCCCAGTCTTAGCTTCTGTCCCTGCCCATACCCTGGGCTTGGGTGTTGGAGCCACTGCACTTCCCAGAGCAGAGTGTGCTGCCGTGTGGGTCTGAGTCATGGCTTAGCCATGGGCATGGGCAGGTGGGCTCCAGGGGCCCTACAGATGGGAAGCTCCAGGAGGGAGGAAAAAAGCCTCGGTATGCTTGCCTGCTGGCACCCAGGGCTTTGGCAGGGCTTTGTGCATGTGGGACAGTCCCCAACACCAGCATCTCCTGGTGGCAGAAGGATTTTTCTAATAGAGCCCCCTGATCAGACCCTGGTGATGCTGCAGGAGCGGGGGACATAGAGGGGTCGTCACTGTGACCCCACACTGGGACAGTTTTTCAATGCCAGCTCTATCTCTGCTGCCTCCTGGGTCACCCATGGTCCCAAGGGCTCTGCCCCAATGCAACATCACTCAGCCCAGCCCCAGTCAGGGCTGCTCAATCCTAAAGCCCCTGCAGAGGGGACAAAGAGGACAGTGATGTTCCCAAAGGCTATGGGTAGGGCCTGGAGCGCCTGATCAGTGTATGGCTCTGCCCAGGAGAGGAGGCAGATGGGGACATTGAGAATTCCCCATGTGCTGCTGCCTGGCACTGTGCCCAGCTATGCCCAGGACTCAATCCCCCATCCCACAGGCTCTCCTGTCTGGCCCATGTCGCATGAGGGGCTCATCCCTGTCCCCCCACCATTCTGCCTCTCTCAAGGGTGGTGCAGTCATGCAGCACCCAGGTTTGCAGTGAGTTGTGACAGGTTTCCTTCCCGCTGCAGTAGCCACAGCAGCCACAAGATTTAGAAATTGCCAGAGATACGTTTGCCAAAAGAAGAAAGAAAAGGGCTGTGAAGAGCAGGCAGCAGCACAGGACACTCAGGCCGTGAGCTCCACTGTGGATCCATGAGGGAAGGATGAGCCCTCAGCAGCAAGATTACTAATCCAGGGTGGTTTTAGGGCAATATTCCAAGCAAAGGAGCTGGAAAGGGAAGATGTGGAGCTGTAGCTCAGCAGTGAACAGCACTGTCCAGCAGCTAATGTGGACTGACTCAACAAGGACCACATCTTGTCCAGGCTGTTGGAAGACGTGTCTAGGGTCTCCCATAGCAGGACTGACCTCTAAACCATGTGGGCATCTTTTGGGCTGAGTTAAAATAACACAAAGTTCTGCATTCTCAAAACACTACTGAGCTTTGTGTGAAAGCAACTCCTCAGCACCTTCCTGGTACCAGCCCCATGGGAACAGACACTAATGGACACCAGAGCACACACTATGCTGGACCTTACAGCACTTGGCATGTCCAGGAACCCTGAGTCCCTGGGCCAGGCCTTGTGCAGAGCAGGGTCAGGACAGAGCAGGTGATCAGGGATGCTTGGCCCCAAACCGCAGCACTGCCTGCAGATTAGAAGGTTCTACCACTCAGAAAGCAAAAAAGCAGCAAAAAAAAAGCACAAGAAGAAAAGTTTCTGTGAATTAATTTGGTTTAAAACCAAAGGTCCACCTTGGAACCAGAAAGAAGAAAGGCTTTCCAAGCTGATTCAAGTACTACATATGGGGGTCTCGGTACCAATCTAATTCCTCCATGTTTTAAGAGATAAAATCCACTTTGAAACCAGCTCAGGGCACTGCCCAAGATGCCCCAGCATGTGGCAACAGGTGGCAAAGAAAGGCATCACAGAGGAGTTAATAGTTGGTAGTTATACTAAGAAGAAAAAGGGTCATCTTAGTTAAGCCAGCTCGTCTTCTCATTCTAGTCTTCATTATGTATGACAAGCCCAGAGAGAAGGCAGCAGCACATCTGGCATGCAGGCTGGCTCAGAAAGTTTCCAAGTAAATTGCTTGGGATGAGAAAAGGGGTTTTAGATGAACTGTTTTTCAGGATAAGAGCCTGGAATTATTCTAAAACAAAAAACTTGGCCTACAAAAGGAGTACTTGGCCAACAAGAAATTGTTCGGGAACTTCTTTCATCATCTGAATTTACAATGAAAAAGAAAAAAAAAAAAAAAAAAAAAAGCAGCTTGTATTCAAAGGAAAGTGCATTTGTCACCCAGCAGCACTGGCTCAGGCAATGCAGTGGAGGCCACGGAGATGCTGGGGTGTGCAGGGGAGCCCTGGCCCAGGCAGAGCCGCAGCAGCAGACACTGACTCGGCTGTTCTGGCCTGGGGGGCTTCTGTCTTTCGGTGTGTCCAACAGATTCCCTTCCCAAAACGCACGTCCTAAGGCACAAGGGATGGGCGGCAGAGGGTCCCGCAGCCGGGGGTCCCGCAGCGGAGGTGCCACACAACGGTTCTCGCTACTGGGGCAGCTCCATCCCTGAGCACCCGGCGGGGGATGCTCCCTGCGACCCTCCCCGCAGATGAGGGACCTCTCAGTCCCGGCGCCTCCCGTGACGCTGGGGATCCTCTGACGCCGGCGTCTCTCCCGCACCGGTGATCCTGCACACCGGGAATGCCATACGCCGAGGTGCCCACGGCGACTCCCCCAGCCCCTGGCAGCCCAGGACCTCCCGGTACCCGCCGCCACTCCGCGCTCGGTGCCCCCGCGCCGCTCTGTTCACCTTGAAGCCCGGCGGGCCCCGTGTGTCCCTGGAGCCGAGGAGGAGGAGGAGGATGCCCAGTAAGCAGCCGAGGGCCAGGAGCAGAAGCAGGGCGGCCAGACGGCGGGCCATGGCGGAGCCGGGCAGGTGAGCGGCTCGGCAGCGGCGGCGGCTCCTGCCGCTCCTCCAACCCCGCCTCCTCCTCGCCCGCCTCTCCCGGCTGAGTCACCGTCGCCCCGGCCCACCCGGGCGGGACACCGGGCTCCGTGGCACTGCGCCGGGCGGTCCCGGCCTGTGAGTCCTGGGGCTGCCCCCGACACGGACTCAGATCTTCCTGCCCCGGGACCAGACCGATCTGCCTCCCCCAGGCACGGTTCTTTTGCCCGGGATCAGCCCCAGCCCGGCCCCTCAGGCACCGCCCCGGCCCCAGAATCAGCTTTGTTCCTCGAGCATCACCGTTACCGGGAGGGCTCAGCCCAATCCTGTCCCTCCTCCCTAGGCACAGCCTATGTCCCTGGGATCAGCCCCATCTACCCCTCCGGGCGTGGTCCTTGACCCCAGGCTCAACCCCATGCTGCCCCCGCCCTGGGGCTTTGCCCTTAGATGGATTCAGTGGGACGTGGGATCAGGACGTGACATCCTGAGATACAGAAAAATTCCAAGAACCTCTCATCTACAATGATTAACAGCTGTGGCTGTATTCCTGCTTTTAATCATCGCAAAAACTTTGTGACAGCCCTGAGGAGCCCAGATGTGTACTGAGGTTGTTTTCAATATGGTCAAAAGTGAATAATGTGATGCATTTGTATAGGGAGCAGCGAGCCAAAGGAGGTTGGACTCCTTCCTCTGAGAAAGACAGCTTGCTTACACGGTGGGATACAACAGTGAACAAAATAATAAGGAGAGGAGGCTGGAGGACACGGCTCCTAGAGCAGCTGGGTTGCAAGCTGAGGGTCACAGCCTCACACTGAGGGTGTGAGCTGAGGCTCCACACGCCTGCTTTACTTCTCAATATTTTTTGAAGCAAGGAGCTTTCCTGCCACTCACAGCTGACACACAGCACACGCAGCACACATTGCACCAGCACTAGACCTTCTGCAGAACTTCCTGCCCGTCACTGTGGTATTGGGGTGCAGAGGTGCTCAGGGGGCTAAGTCTTTGCCCAGGGCTGGTGGTGCAGGAGCCCCCAACCCTGATGCGCCACTCCATTGCACAGGTTCTGCCCCACAGGGCACGAGCTCCACTGCTGTCCCCGAAGCAGTGACTGGCTTCAGAGTCTGGGGAAGAAAATGTCTAAATAGGGGCACAGAGAGCCACCCACACCCTGTCAGGGCCCATCACTGTGGAGCAGGGCTTCTCTGCAGGACTGCTGTGTTCAATCTGTGAGTCTGTTTGCAGGGGTTTATGTCCTCACTTCAATTCATTAAGCACTTAACCCTGGAAAATCGGTGTCAATCTATTCCAAGACATTAATGTATTAATTTATGTGAAAAAATTACTCCCCTTTGCTGCTGATTATGCCACAGGAGAACACAGTCCTGTCCCTGAGGCTCAGCACAGCATCATTCCCACTGCCTTTCTGCCTTTCCAGTCTGACTCTTCTCAAGTTTCTATGGGAAAAATGCCCACCTATTCTTGACTCTTCATGCTGCCCACTGCCCACCTCACCTTCTAAGGCACTCATCTGCCATCCTCTACAGTGCAACTGCACCAGGGATTACCACAGAGAGATCTTTTCTGGATTGCATTTAATCCCTTTCTCAAACCTCCTGCTTCACCTTTAGATGGACAAGCAATGAGGTCTTCAAAGACTGAAAAGGAACAAAAAAATCTCTTTTCTGGATGGTAGGGAGCAGAAACAGGGTTGGGGGAGCCCTGTGGGAGTAGAGATGGTGCCCCAGTTTGTGGCGACGTGCCTCAGGGAAGGCAGAGTTACATTGTCCCACCCCAAACCCCCTGTGAAGGGCGGCCCAGGAGTTCTGATTGGGTTTGAGTCCCTGGGGGGTTTCTCCCTTGCTGTGTTTCTAATGGTCCCTGACCCTGAACTCCACCCTCAGGGGTGGAGACCCTCGGGAGTTCTGTCCCTCAAAAACTCCTGCCCTGCCTTTGTTCGGGGCTCTTTGTTCTGGATCTGGCTTTGTTCCCGTGTTGAATAAATGGTTTCATGAACAAGGGCCCGTCTCGTTGGTGTTCCATGCTGGTCCCCAGAATCCTGTTGCTTCCCTGGACGAGATCCTGAGGTTGTTGACTGCAACACTTGTTCTTCATTCTTCTTTTGGTTTTGGGGACTTTGCAGTGAATTCCTATCTGGCAGGTGGTCCTTGGTGTGGTGGGACCCATCCTGGGAGATGTGAGTGTTCTCCATACCTTGTTCTTGTGCAGACTTGGCCATCCTATTCCCAGGCTGTCGATGAGTGGCTTTGAAAGGGGGGTTGGCATTCCTTCTCTCCCCAGGGGGGAGCTGCTCCTCCTCTTCATGGGGTCACTTTTGCCACCCTCTTTCCAGCCCCAAGGGGGTAGGAGGTGTGAGCTGAGGTTTGAGGGAACCTGTGCCAAGCCATGGACAACCACTGGTGTCCCAGGATAGTCAACCTCCAGTGCAACCAGGAAGGCACCAAAAGCTTGGACATGCTGGGGTGGAAATACTCCCATTCCCAGGGGAATGTCAGCCAGGCACACACATGTATAGCCAGAGAAATACCCAAATACCCTGTGACGGTATGTTCAGGTGGGCAGCACCCCAACATGGCTGGCTGAGCTCAGCCCAGCCAGGTTTGGGCACTGCCAGCTGCTGCCCCGGTAAGGGGGGAAGCGGGGAGGGGATCTCTTGTCACTTCTCCTTTCCCATGTAGCTCTGTCAAGGCACCACAGGCCAGAGAGCAGGGCACTGAGGCTGGCAGTACCTTTGCCCGTGGTGTGTGGGCAGCCCCAGCCACTCGCAGGGAACTCAGCCATGTCCCTGGGGAGGAGCAGGTGTCTGCGCTGAGGTGGCTGCCCCAGGTGGGTAGTGCCTGAGCTTCATGCACAAGGAAGTTCCGTGGGAAAAAGCAAATGAGGGGCAGGGAGGGCTTTCTCTGCCATGGGAGATGAAGCAGGCAACTTGCTCCAGCGGCAGGAGGTGAGAGCAGCCTTGTTTGTCTGCAGAAATAGGGGTCTGGACTTTGGGCACTATCAAAGAAAGGCAAGAGCAGATGTCATCTCTGCAGGACTCAGATTGTGAAGCATACAATCTGCCCAAATGAGCAGGTTCAATAAGCAAGCAGCTGCGTGGGGGAGCCAGCCCAGCACAGCCTGGTTGCCCTGCCGCACCACCACTCTGCCATCTCTCTGCCTGCCACCCTGTCAGCCTGTCTGCCTGCCACCCTGTCAGCCTGCCAGCGTCTCACCTCTGTAACCTCTGCTGATCTCCACAGTGCTACTCTCCATGCATTCATCCTCCCTTGACCATTCCCAGGGACAGAGGAACACTGTGAATTTTTAGGGAACTGCTTTGATAGCAGGAGGGACAGATCCCCTCAGCATGACCAGATATGAAAATGGCATTGAAACCTGAAATAACCAGACAATCCACCAGACGCGGGAGCAGGGTTTTCTGTGGGGCAGCAATAAGTTCCCCACAATTTAATGCAAATTTTTCATGATTACAGCCTGTGTCACCACTGTGATGAGGCCACAGCAGCAAGGGACCAGGTTAACCTGTGAGATCAGGCAGATGCTGATCTCTTCTCTCTGCTGATCAGTGATAGCACCTGAGCATGAAGCTGTGTCAGTGGAAGTTTAGTCTGGTTATCAGGAAAAAGTTCTTCCCCAGAGGGTGCTGGGGCACTCACCAGTCTCCCCAGGGAATGGGCACAGCCCCATGGCTACCAGAACTCCAGGAGCATTTGGACAATGCTCTCAGGGATGCACAGGGTGGGATTGTTGGGGTATCCTGTGTAGGGCCAGGACTTTTTTCCACGACCTTAGAGGCATTTTCCAACTTTAATGATTTTGTGATTCTGTGATCCTTAAGGACTATCAGGACTATTCTACGGTTCTATCCTTCTTTGCGGCATTGGACAGGAGCCCAGAGAAAGGGATAGATGTCGCAGGCAAAGGGAAACCAGCTCAAGAGCCTCAACTCCCTACTGTGCTGATGTCTTTGGCTCACCCTATATCTGGACAAACACAAAGAACTTAATCCCAGGTAAAGCTGGATGAGGATGTGTCGCCAGCATGCCTGAGGCACCTGAGAACTCTTGTCTGTATTTCTACATCCCCTGCAGGTGGTGTGGACATGGGCTTCAGCTCAGTCACCCAGGGAGACAGGGCTTTCCTCCAAGGAGAGGCACAGGCACAGACTCCCCAGGAAAGACAGGGCATGCTGGCACCCATCCCAGCTGGGCAGAAAAACTCGTCCCCACCATGGAGCAGGAGAAATAATCCCTGGGGGCAGAGTGAAAGATGAGTACAAAGAGGAGAAGGTGGGGAGTGCATTAGTCACCCAGCAGTGCAGGGGACCGCCACTTCCTCAGACAAAGGAGAGGTGTTTTTTTTTTTTAACAAAAGCCTCTGAGGTGGGGACACCTGGGTGAGGGCTGCAGGGTTGAACAACGGATCATTCAAGGAGATCAAAGGAGACACTGGATCAGGAGAAGGAACTGATGTCTCTGAGAGGTGGGATTTGCTAGTTGTGGGAATCATGGCTGTTCAGTGGCTTTGTAAAACACGGATGAGCACATCTGGGAGCACTGGTGGGCGGCCCTGCAGCTCCATATGTGGTTGGGTAATAACAGGAAGAACATAATGAGCCTGTAGATACTGCAACAGGCTGGGGTCCAAAGGGAGGGGTTAAGGACAGGGTTCTCTGCTCCCATCTGCAAGCTCCTCAGCCAACAGCAAGTGCAGGGGACCATTCAATCCAGAAGCATTCAACAGTTTTGGGATTGGCCCAGCACAGGCCAGCCCTGAGCAATGCACAAACAATCCCACAACACACTCCAGAGCTGCTCCAGCACAATATTGATCTTAGCCTTGGCAGAAGCCCTGGGGGTCCTGACCTTCTCCTGAGGGAGCACTGGGAGCCAGTGGGGTTCCTCTGCAGAGGCACCCAGACCAAGAACCAACAGAGTTCCACCCAGGGACAGATAGGGGCTGGCTGGAGAGCAGCCTAGTCCCTGTAGCAGCCAGAAGGACATTTGGGACAGCATGAGGCTGCAAAGATGTTCCCAGATGGAGCACAGCCCCCATCTGTCTCTGCAGCACAGACCAAGGAATAAAGGCAAGGATCTTTGGTCTCAGGTTGGGCTGAGGCTTCCCACCCATCCACAGGCTGTGGTCCATGGGAGAAATCCCCCAGTCCCGTTCTCAATCCAAATTTCAATCAATCCCACTCCCATTCCCAATCTCAGGTCTGCCTGGGAGCTGCACTGGAGGCACAGACAGATGGAGGAGTGGGA